TCGACTACGTTCAGAATCGGGCCGAAAATGAACTATCTATTGTTGATAAAAGCGAACAGGCGAGTTACAGCAAGCAGTCTACAAGCAGATGCGATCACTGGAACAAGAAGTTTATTGGCCTGACAGTTCGGATTCCGGCTTGAAATCTTCATCAGAGACAACCCTCCTTCTTTTCTGTGGTTGTATCTGATGATGGGTCCGAGCCAGAATCCGAACAGTAAGACCAATAAACTACCTGTCCTAGTGATAGCATCTTCTTCTGAATCACCTACTGTCCCACATTCTCGGAGATTAGCTTGGAAGGTCAACGATCCTCTGATCTTGTTTATCGTTAAGTCTCCACAGTTTTTGCCTCCTTCTATATTCCAGACAAGACCTCTGCCGGAAATCCAGCAGAGCAATTAGATTTAAATTAGAAAACCATTCGGGACAATGTTCTTTACATCACTGCATAAATAATAGTAAGTTCGCCATCCCCTTCTCAGTGTGGAACGGAGACACAACGAAAACTCATCTTTGGAAGCCGAGTAGTTCTTTTACCTCGGTCTAAGTTAATTACCGCAAAGAGCGTTGACCATCAAATGAATTGTATATGCCCATCGTTATCATTCAAGTGAGCTGCTTGTTAGCACAGAAGTAGACCGTATTAGACGCCTAGCTATCCAAGCCTACCTACACATCCAACTAACCCTAACCCCGACCCCAACGCTATAGATTTTTGTTCATCAGGGTTAGCATTCGTCGCCGGGTTAGTTGAGTTACACCAGCATTCGTTTGCGTCCAGGTAAGCCAAGGATCTATTTGTAAGTATTCAGAAGTAAATCCAGGAGTCAAAGAACTTGAGAGGCCATAAAGCACTAGTTATCACAACTGTTTATCCTGCATGACTCCTCTTACGCAGGCAAACCAATTCAGAAACGACCTTGATCACTATAGCATGCAGCCCCTTAGTAATTCATGGAGGCGAGTGGATGGAGACCACTTAAAGCGCACAAATAAAAACTGCCGGACGAAAGGCTTGCAATTCTGTATAGCAACCGGTTTCGCATCTAGACAATGACTGCTTTGAGAAAGTGGGACCCTAAATTCGCCAATGATAACCCAACGCGTGAGACTGATGCCGTGCTGTTAAACGCTGAGTACAAAAAAAGAGAATGGCCAGCGCGTTCTGGCTTACGCAAACCTAGATGGGAGCAGATTAATTGCTAAGAAGATAGGCGCATCAAGCGGCAGAAAAGGCTTCAAACCAAATCCAGCTGACATTCACCAGAAAAACCAAAAGAGAGCACTGAAATATACCTTTTAGAGAAGACCGACAAATCCAACAGCTCTTCAACACCGCACGGAGACGTGAGCTTCAGTGCGCAGGCGGATAGGCTGCCGGAGAGAAAAGCATCCAAGCAACCCCAGAGAAGGTTGGGATCGCTGTGAAGACTATGTGCTACGCGGAGGCTAAGGCTCCTCCAGAGATCAGCCCGTTGGGGGTGGTCTTCACCAGCACAAAAACGAGCACTGTGATTCAGGACATCGACACAGGCCTGCATAAGGTAGAGACGTGTATTGGCTGAGGTGGACACTACAGGGAGTGCCGAGCTGTCAATCCAATTAAGGAGATGCTCACAAAGGTAAAGAGCCGGTTCCGAAGCCTGGGCGAAAACAGGGGAATCCGGTGTTGCTAGAGGACGGATGGCATGTGTTAGCATAAGGTATAACTGTTCCAGTGTCGGAGAACCCGGCATCTCCGCTATGGTTGGGAGAGACTTGAGGAGGGACGGTAGAAGAGCCCAGGTTGAGGAGATATCTAGTAGACTTGAGAGGCAGCAGATGCCAACTTCTTCGGAAGCCTGAGAGGCGGTGAGCGCATCGGGAACCGCTTCAGAAGTCGGAGCAACGGCGGG